GCAGACATTAACTATACTAAATACAGTTCTACTTTTTACTCTAACCGAGTACTCGCTTCTTCTTACCGTCTTCCTCTGCACGTACGAGTGTACGTGAAGTTACGAGGCACCGCCTTATTCTGTCATCAGAATAAGTAGCTTGTACTGTCACCAGTACAAGCTTCAGGGGTGCCCCGTTACACATCCCCCTCTCACCTGCTGTTGTTGATCTGGACGAGGTTGGGGTACTCGTTGTCACCTTGCCAAGCGCACTGTCTAGATCTCCCGTCTCGCGTCTACCGCTCGCACCACCTATCGCGCCACCTAACGCGCCAACTCCTTGTCCATGCGGGTGGCTGTCGGGCCCGCTCCTATCGGGCTCCTGCGGCATTCTATTAAGGCACAAAGTTGATTGGTCAAAACCCTACTTGGCCGCTGAGCCGTGATCCAATTACATTCTCAATTGTGCCCGACTACTCTTTAGCCGGCGAAATCGAAAGTGGGCATTTCTTAAAATAGGACGAAGAAACCAATGGGATGGAATGGTCTGCGAAGTCTTAGGGCTTACATCTGATCGAGAATTTGTGGCGGATCTTGCTGAGGACTGTGTACACCTCGGCAGCAAAAAAACAAACGAAATGGGAGCTTATGGTGGCAATGAGAAATGTGAAGCGAGACTTCCAAGGTGACGCTCACAAATTGGCTGGATATATAAAAAGGCGCCACTTGCAAGTGTCCACATACGACGGTAAGAAGATAGAGTACCGAAACGACTACCACACACCAAAATGAGCTATAAGTGTTGCTTGGTGTGCGCTTTATCGCATACACCGTATCTTTTCCACGCACTTGAACCGTCACGAGCGGGACATCACGTGTGACATTGCGTGGGATATTTTCTTACTTGTTTGTCTTCCACAAATGCACTGAGAACGTTGAGCACATCAAAATAACCACCTGCAGGCCTCTCTATCGATGGAAAAGGTCAGAAGAGCATGGCTTGTTCCATCAAAAGTTCACAAGCAAGTTTGCTATACCATTTCCGCGCGCGTTCTACACTCAATTAGAACGCAAAGCTCAAACTATTCATTTGTTGCCCTGTCCATCATCGTCTTCTATCCAACATGCTCGGTATTCATTACCACCTCATTATGCTTGTCCACTTTTCTTTGAGCATTATCTGGACAAGAATCCAGACTCGCGCGACTCTTCCTGGAAAATCAACAGGCTCAGCCAACCCCTTACAGCTCTGTGCAATGTGACAGCATTTTAAGATACAACTTACAACCACCAAAAAAATCATGCCTACGTCAACTTGGGCCAGTGCTTCGTTAGAGTTGCCTCTGCTGTGATAGCGACAGTAACAGCGTAGGTCAATCGCTTACCTATGGGTAAACTCGAAGCGAGCTCTTCTCAATGTGAAAGATGGACAGAGCACATCATCTTCTTGATCAGTTGACGACACTACAATAATCATCATCTGTTGAGTACGTCGTAGTGCAGCAGATCCAGACGGAATTTAGACTCTTTAAATGGGCGCAGTGCGTATGCTGCAGTACCTCGAATTCCTTGTTGCATTAACAATACGGTGCATATACGAGAAAATACCACGAAGCCAAAAATTGCTCCAACTTCGTTCTTTTTTAACTTCGTCTTGACCGCATGTGAATAAACACCATCAAAAGCCTCAGTGAGCAACGCAGTGAGCGTTCCATACGGCAAGGACATGTGGGCTCCATACTTATTAACGGACGGCCTCTTCAAGTCGAGACAACCAAATCGCGAATCAGATCCGAAGAAAACGTCGACTTTGGCATCTCCTGACTTATCGGACGACATCATTGCATAGCTGCAGCACAGCCCCATTGCTTCCAACGCACATCGTTGCTGACTTCATACCGTCGCTACCTCAGATTCGTCAAGTGGAAGCGACTCCGCTAGCAATACTAGAAGTCGCTGTCGGAGACAGCGTCTCTGATCTTGGAGCTCGACGAAGGCTGTGAATTGTGAGTCAAGCACTTACCCAGCTTTCAGAGCAATAACTGTATGACCTGGCACTGGGCTCCGATCAACACTCCCAGTCTCCCTACCTCGCGCAACAACAATCCGCTGATTATTACGACCTACGAGACGGAATCTTCATCCATCCAAAGCCGCAGTTGGTGGCTCAAATGCCGTCGTTGTCGTGATAGAAGTCGGAAGCCGCAACCACTCAGCGCTTGCTGTCGCTTTGATGCCCAGATCAAGAACGGTTGGTTTCGTGAGACTTTCTTCAACTGCTTTGATCGATTCCAGCGGCGTTCGAACTAACACTGCTTGATTCTGCGCACCGCTCACTCCCACAACGTACACACAGACCTTCGAACATACCAACGTCACGTGAACCAGATAGCTTGATCTGTCATCCGGCAGCAAAAGGCCGCGAATCGACTCGTTCTCTGGCGTATCCAAAAGCTCGCTCGGTATGAAGTCGAGGTCCTGCCCGAAACCGGCCAACTTATTCTCATCTGAAACGACCCAAATACCATGCGCGAACACCAAGCTGCTGCCAACTTCGTCTGGTAGCACCTTGAGCTTGTAACGGAGTAATTCGTTAGGTCGGGCATCGAAACGCGAGACGTAGTCAGAAAGCGGCATGTGGTTGCTATTGATCCCGTAGAGCAGGCCGTCTGGAAGTCATCGACACAAGTGATGCTACGCCACCCATCGGTCGAGCGAGAACGCCCACCAACCCCATGCCAACACCACCTACTACGTTTCGAATCCCAGTGTCAAGTCCTTGTCGCTGGCGTTCCTTGTAAACAGCAATCGGAGTCGTGATCACTCCAGCTGCTGCACCAACCACACTCGATCCTAGCGATCCCAAACCTTCAGCAAGAGCTGACGACAAATGAGTTGGTCGGATGTAATGGCGCTTTCGAAGCTGATCCATTGGCAACGTGAGTTGATCCATTGTTCGAGAAATGGAATATGAAAAGCCGGACACGGAGGTGAGCGTTGCTACCGTGGCATGGCCTAAGAAAGAGGCAACACCGCCCGCAACACCCTTTGTGAGTAACCACGGATTGTAGCCTTTTTTGGACGCAGCTAAGGGAATTTCAACAAGATTTCGAACTCCCTGGCCGAAGCTCCGTAGAAAACCCCCTGCAGCACAAAACAGAAGAAATCGTACATCAGTCACAGGTCAGGTATTATTCTCGAATTTGCAAGCTTACGCGGGGTTGCCAATAATGTTCAGCGACATTAAAAGCATTGGAGAGCGAACGATGGTATCGGCGACATAGTCTGCTGCCAGATCCTTGCACAGCTGGTCGGGGAAAGAAAACACATCTCGCAACTTGGTCGACCCGAAGTGCAGCGGTGTGCCATCAAAACTGTTTAGTACAGGAATTGACACACGCGCGGTGATGACCACCTCTATGCTGCTGATTTCGAGACGTCCGATAAACACTTTGTGCTGTTTTGATATCATCGCTGATTCGTATGCGTACAAACTCCAGGTATCCTCATGACAAGTTTCATGGCCTTGATTTCCACCGTAGGCAACCGTGCCTGAAGCAGCTTTACCTTCCAGGGCATCAAGTATTGACCGAACGAAAGCGTTTAAGTACAACAAGATGTCATCTTCTACCTACAGTATCTCGCACAATTATGTTACAAGAGAATCCGCAAAATATTAAGAATACCAGTCAATCATACCTGAACGACGGCCGGGGACAAGTTTAGCTCAACCGTGTGGAAGTAAGATGGGATATTAACTGGATCCCACGTATCTGCGTAAATGACCCTGATCAACAAGCTGGTATTTCCTGTACCAGGCAACTGTTTGCCAAGGAGATTGTCCATTAGATCTGATTGTAGCAATTCTTTCGACTCATGAGTTCTCGGAAAGCAGATGATCACCGGAAAGTTGCAGGTTTTCAAGAAATGCCTCACTTCAATGTCCCCAATCGCAACGAAGATGGTTGTGTATGATCGGATGTGTGACAGGTAACCCAAACGGTCACTGTGACGGGACACTTCGGGTGGATCGGGAGTCGTAGCAAATGCAATCGATACTGCAGTACAAGTCAATCGCAGAATTTCTGGGTAAATAATCATGCCCCTCGTATCCTGCACGGGGTCGTATTCATCGCAGAGATGGAGAGACAGCTCCTTCACAACCAAGCTAATTTTCAGCGACGTTGGTTTAGTATTCTGCACTGCTGTCGATGTTGCCATTGCGGGTGAAATCAACGGTGGCATTTGACCCGCATGAACATCACGTGTTGGATCCTCCTCTAAGCAGGTAATAGATATCAGCCACGACCCTGCTCGATACAGGCACATTACCAAGAAGGTCGGAGTTGCTGTATCTATCGTGTTCTCCTTCTCGCTTGCAAACGATGCAAATTGGATCCCGCCAACCTGCCAAAGCGCGTTGGACCACCCGTATTCCGGCAATCCAATCTGGAAACGCATACGGTCATTCATTGCTGAATCAGACATGTGTACGCTATCTAGCGATCGTGAGTCGCTTATCCAGTCGCCCAGCAGCTCGTCATTGTCCTTATTGCTACTTTTGGGAATTTCTTCTGCCCCTCTTTGTTTCGATTTGCGGTTCTTCGCTGACATCTGTAAACAATGAACCGCATGAATGTTTGTGACAGCACCACATGATCAATTCCAAAAAGTCGTACCTGTAGATGCCAGTCGTACTCAAGGTAGAAGTCTGCACCAACGCCTTCTGGATTCGATGGGAATGACACATTTTGGAAACCCAATCGTCTTTGCCACTGGTTGTGGATTACCACAGGCGGTTGGTGATCATCGAAGAAGAGTACCTGGATCGACATTCCGTTTTGCGTTACTGTAAACGTCAGCATTCTGTGCCTCATGTCACGGTGGCGAATTAGCAAACGCCTTCGGCGAGTGGTTGTAGAAGGAGCTGGATACAGGTTATCTGTGTTTTTTACTGAGGTCGACAGTGGATCAACCGTTTCCAGGCTGCCATCGGGATGAGCCAGAAGCGAAATTTCCGGGAGCAATATCGATATTTCCTCTGTCCACTCGTCGTAACCATCTTCCGCGAGACTTACCCGAAAGGAGCAAGACAGTTTTACGACTAAAGCCTGATTCGAAGTCTGCAAGGCATCCTCGTTCGAGTGCCTTGATAGCTTCGAGCTAAACCAAGATGACACACCAGCAGTAAAGCCTCTCTTTTCTTCCTCTTTGTACAGACATACAGGCACACACCATCCGGCATTTTTGTTCGGTATCAACTGCTGATAAACAAAAAAGAGAATCAGCCAGTGTACTAGAAGTCTACACTACTCACCATAATTACGACGTTAACGCACCGATGGTTCGTCTGCGTTCAGTATATTACCTTGGTTGTCTGTAGGAAGACACATGAGGGAGTAATTCTGAACAATCAAGTTAGTTTCCGCACATATGAGCGGATTCACGATTTCAACAAATATTTGTTACCGTTGAATTGATCACCACAACCTGCGGACGGATCATGAGCTTCAGGTAGCCATCCAGGTTGACCATTTCGATACAGTACGCACTGGCCAAACTTGGTGGTCCCGGACCCGCAGCTGGCACAATGATTGATTTCGCATCACCTTTCACATTGAGTGAAGCTTCTGGAGACCATTTTACCGGACCTTCCTCGTTGTTCAAGTCTTCAACTATTGCGATTGAGATCACCAAATAGGTGCTGACTGGTAGAACCCCGACAGAGCGCTCGACACATGAGCCGATCTTCTCCAAAGCACGTCGATTTTTAAGAGGGCTGCTTACGTTAATGGCCAAAACGTGCGGCGTCATGTTTGCAATGCTAAGGATGCGCTCGATTTTGATTCGAACCATTGGGCGACGATCCTTGCAAAAGCTCACGACCGCTCTATAGCCCTCAAAGACAAAAACATGTTCACTCGGATTTCCGTAGGAGATGCAAAATGTCAGTGACTCCGTAGCGGCTGGAGCATTACCGGAACTTGATTCGTATTGCAATTGTACGTCTACCGGCTCACACGGATTGATTATCGACAAATCTTTTTCGGTCGAAGGGGCGATATTTAACTCGACAAAGGTAGTCTATGAAGAAAACAAAGCATTAGCACGCGCCTACTTTTATGAAAACTAATGCCGTAACTGTACCTTCTGTATAAAGGAGAGCACCACTGAAAAGTCCATTGTATTCTCCACGACGATAGCAGGCCACAACGAAACCTCCATCCAAGTGTATCGCCACGATATCTGGGGTTGCATCGGGTCAAAGTCGGTAGGCAGCACAGTCCTGCATTGCGCACGAGCAATCTTAACCCAAGCGTACTGAGTGCGCTCGCCAGGATTTCGCGAAGAGAGGGCTACGGAACTGCATTGTGTTTTCTTTAAACCATCCTCGTAGCCGTCACAATTTTTTACTAGGTCGAACTCGCTAGGGATGTTTTCTTGTATTGGCACACTGCACCAAGAGGCTTCGTCGATACTAAATTCTACAGATGCCAAGGACTTCAGCATAATCCGCAACTCATCGTCATCTGCTTCTGCAGATACGGATAGAGTGCACCCCGATCCGTCAATGAAGTACATTTAGAGTGACACTTTACACTACTCTTAATGCAGCTCTCTTGACAGAACTTCTCAAGTCTTCTAGGATGAAATGTGGGAGTTTCCTCATTCACTTTGATCAGCACCGGAAAGTGACAACGATTTTGAACAGTCAGCGACGATCGAAGCGTTACTATCGTCTGTAAACCATTCAGCTCCACACAAACCCACAAGAAGCCGCGAGCGCCCAAATAACGACCAGTTACAGCATTTTCTTTGATCCTGCATGGATCGCACCAGAGAAGATCATTGTGCACCGCCTGCTCGCCATTGCTTTTCTTGTCTTGGCTGTTATGTGCTTCGATTGGCTCCTGACCCGTATTCTCCACAGCAAAGCTAAGCTCATAAAACGGGTAACTTGCCAAGGAGAGCCAGCTATATGCTGCACTGGTGTCTGCAGCTAAGAATAAGCACTCAGGAGTTCCTTCTTGTCGATACCGGATATCCATACCTGAGCAATTGACAATGCTTATGCGCATCTTGCACAGCTTGTTATCCACATTTACTGGAGCATCGTCAGAAGTTGTTGTATTCGTCTGCAGGAGCTTTGGAATTGACGAAATCACAAGCATCGTTGTCTGATTTAAAAGGACGGAGACTGGACCAATCTGGGCGGCAAGCTCAACGCCCTTTCGAGATACCTCGACTGTTGCGTCAACTGAAGTTCGCGGAATAATCGATACAGTAAGCAGCTGAGCCATGTTGTCAAGGTATGCTTGGACCGACGACGACAAACACAAATTAAACGTCCTGGTGTGAAGACGACCCGAAGTCGCACACGAGAGCCCTGTATCATTAAGCTCGGCAGTTATAATATCGTGAGAGTCGTTTCCTGAGCCCACCTGGCTGATAGACAGCGTAATTAGTGGAAGTGTAACAGTCGATACTAAGCGCTCATAGGCGTCACACGTCAACACCGAATGCACCTGAAGCGATGATGCAAGCAAGGCGTTTACCACGAGACGCTTCTGCTTGTTCTGCATAATATGTACATAAACAATGTGATCAGTTTCGGCGTCAACGCGGCTAAAGGTTACACTTACGCACCTCGAACTCTTGTTCATACTGCAGCGGAGCTCTCCATCTTAGTTCCCAATTGTCCGAAGAAAGGTTGCTATCAAATGAGAACGTCCTCGTTCGAGCACCAAATTCAAGCAATTTTGATCGATAGTGCGCTTTCTCAATGTCATCGTCAAACCACTGATTCATCAACTCCATAAAAGTTTCTGGTTCACTGGCATCTCCTGGCTCATCAGAACCTACATTTGGCAGCGCAACTTCCCAGGGAACATGAAATTCGCACACGACGACATAAGAAGTCTTCTTGCTGTCCCAACATCTTAATTGACACAGAATATCGCAAAGCCTGCCTGCATCTTCGTCTTGACTCTGATCCCAGCTTGACGACGGCCATCCCATTAAGACTCCATTAGGAGGAAAAGGTACTGGGTTTGCAACAACCTTGTGAATCTTACGTGGTATGTGATAGCACCAGCGTATCCCCGCCCAGCCGTGTGTTTTGTGACCCAATCCCGTGCACGAAGACGGTTCGCTGCCAGTTTCATGCTCTTCGATGATCCATGGCTCGTTGCACTTCTTGAGGTAGGCTACCACATCAGCTAGCTTGATGCCAAACTTGTTCGAATCAACCTGAATCCGAATGTCTGCACCAGCAACCGCAGACGTGTTGGCCATAACGGCGCTCGCGGTCTCGATCATAAGAGCCTCCGTAAATACGAGCTCCCCAGGTGAAGGTCGTCGTCCTTCTGCCACTCGCCTCAACATCTTAAAATCATCCACCGAAGATTCTCGTAGACGTTGAATTGTATTTCGAGGACTAGCACACAGACTAGCGCAATCGGCTATACTACCACCGCGTAGGTCATGGAAACGTTTGTCATATGGATTGTCGCTGATGGCAAGTGGGTTCAACAGGTAACGCATGGCCCGCAACGAGAAAGGTGAAATCTTCACGCGCAGAGCGTTCACTTCGGCCTGGACACTTACCCGGACCATATCAGTATACAGCAAATAGACGTCCGTTTCCCCAACCGCCACTCGTTCAAGCATTTGATGCTGTTCGCCAGTTATCCGAGCACTACATTCATATAGCAGCCGTTGAGTCTCGGACACAGCACTGATGTATTTCGAAAACTGCTGCCAAGTACTAAAAGTATGTGCGGGAATGGGACCGGCTAACGTGTTTTGAAAATGTACCTGCAGGAGAGGCAAGTCGTTGGAGGTGTTGATACCAAGCTTGTCAATATTCATCATCATTTCCAGTGTAGGCACAGCAACAAAACGAGTAATTTCATCCACGGTTTGTTCTAGTGAACGGAACAACTCCTGGGTCTTATCATTACCACCAACACCCACGCTCGCAAACAATTGGCCGGACTTCATCCAAATGCCAGCCGTTCTCCTTCCCGCACTAATTTGTCCTCGGTACGATATCACACTTGGAGCTACAAGCACCTTAATACTCCATCTCGGACGGAAAGCAAAGAACTTGTTATCCCTAGGGATGCTGATTTGGTCTCTACTTTTTTTTCCTAGACAGGGTTTCGAAAACAAAAAAGTCGGTTCTAAGTAAGCAAAGCGAGATACCACTTGCAAGAATTTATGCGATACGTGCAATTGAACAGCTTGCACATCAAGAAAAAGCGTTCCATCTGAACAATCTCCAAAATTCCACCTCGCGGCAACCAGCTTTTCGGGATAGTTTTCCACAGACAAATGCCACAAGCTTGGCTCGGCATTTGGACCAAAAACCACTTCCTCGATTGCAACCGCAATGTCTGTCGAGCTCGGTGCATTTTCCATTGCTCGGTGACCAACTACCAAATTTTGAATAGACGCACAACCAGAAAGCGTTGAACTGTCGTGCGCTAGGGCGATGGCTCCTATGCGAACATGCATGGCTCCGTCCGAATCAAAAGTATGCATCTCGATCCCATCGCACGTGAACGATATTTCTAGTCTGTGCATGTACTTGAGCGCTGGAGAACGCTTCTGTAATGGTGAACGCTGCACTGGCTTTACCTGTGAGGGCCTCACAATGGATCGGATAAAATCACTGATCCCTCTACTTACCCCCGACACTCGATTGAATAACACGTCAAACACTGCTTTGTCAAGGTCAAGTCTCCACTTGGTCACTGCAATAGTAGCAAAGAATTTCACTCCTGTACCACCACCTTCACTTGTGGCAAAAGATTTTTCTTCGAGACTGCATGTCACGTTGAGCGGCGACCAAAAGGTCACCACATCTGAGAAATGTGCTACACGTCCCGCCACACCACCGATATGTCTTTCGAATGGGCCTATCTCATTGCACATTTTATGAGCAGAGACGAACTCATTAAACTCCAGCTGAGCAATGTGACCCGTAATCTTTCCGGCTCGACATCCGATCCGCAGCTGTGACTGGCCAAACCGCCGTGCTTGAACCGTGGCTCGCCTCGGCAAGACCCTCGAGTTGAACGGAGGGTAGCCCAGCCCATCCAGCGAAATGTTATTTCGCACGGCAGATGCCACTGACAATGATTCTAACACGACAAATGCATTCCCTGATACTGGCCGTGCTAACATAATACCATCCATGAGAAATTCACTTGGGAGGAACAAGCGAATGCAACCAAACAAAACAGACACTTCTATGGTTGCCAAAGATACGCAGGGGACAGCATCAGGTAGAGATGGAGCTCTTGTGGTCGAATCATCAAATTTGCTCACTCTAGTCCTGCTCTTTAAGCTGAATGAGCTGGCCGACTCATCACCCACGTTCGATAGTGAAGCGAGGCAGTATAGACTTGACGTTGTCACGGCAGCGTCCACGCTCTCCACGGAACCCGCAAACACATGACGAGGGAGGCCAGCCTCACTGTAATTGCGATAAAATACCGAAAGCAGCGGGAAAGGGGAAGCTGTCAACGCTGAGTCAATCCAGGACATGATAAGCGGGATTTCTGCAGTGAAGCTCTTTCTTGTAGCCTCGCTTCGCAGCTGTTTAGCATGTGCTCCATGGAATGACTTAGCCAAGCAGCTTGTTAAATGCCACGACAGCATCGCAAGTGGCAGCGATTGCTGGTCCGATATGAAAGAATTTGACACACTTATGGCCTCGGTAAGACGTTGCAAATCCGACAAATCTAGGCATACCAAGATACCCAGAAATGCGTGCTCTTGTAAGCACGAGAATTCACCGAACGCAGTGTGAATCTCGCGCCTCACATTTTGGAGTTTCTCCACAACCTGGACATCACCCACAGTCGCCTGCAAATCTGTAAAGCTCGTGCATCCTGTAGCTGGGTGGAGGTCGTTCCGAGCGGGATGATGGTTGCCAACACGGGCAGCCGCAGCAAAATTTACTATCTTGCTATCCACAACCACCCTGGTTCGTTGACTGCGGCGAACCGACTGACGACTAATTTCAGCCGTGCATGCAATACCGACATGGTCTACCTGAGCACCCAATCTCCAATACCACTGACTGTACGTATTTTCTCTGCTACCAATCTCGGATTCATCAGGCTTTCGCTGCTCTGGATCTTGATCAAACAGCAAATTCCTTTGCTCTGCTTTAGCCTCACTGATATAACGCTTTAAGAGATACATAAGCTACACGACAGCCATAACAACGTAGCTTTGTGATTAGTGTACACGGCGAACGGCAACAAGAAGCTTTGAAGAATCGTTGGTTCCCATCGCGGCCAGATGGACAAACTTCGATACGAATAGCGTACCTTCAATCGAGACAGCGATGCCTGAATACTTGATACGCAAAGTGTTGTATCCACCGCGAACGCGTGACGGCAGTCGGCGAGACTGTGCGAAATGTCGATCGACACATGAATACCCTGAATACTTAGCACGTTCAAGTCTTCCACGTCTTTGAGGACACCATTTTCAGATGCGCTTATTGTCACATCTTTCATAGCACATTCGACCTTAAGAGCCCCTCCAGCTCTTACATGGGCTAGCTGTCCTGCGTCCACGTTTACTGACGATACGGATAGTAATGGCACCTTCAGTTGGAGCGCTTCGTTCAAACGTATGTCTGCACCGGCAGCTTTCAGGTTAATCTTGAAGCTCCAATCAGCCAAGCCATTTTCTAAACCATCCTTTGCCATTGCATTTCGTTCGCAGTCTTCCCCTTGGGGACCCAACTCTTTTTGAGGCGGCAAATTTGCCTTCACTCCTTGCACAAGACTCAAAGTAGCATCTACGGTCTGTAACACACCTTGCACGTCCACGAACACTCGCGCAAGCTGCGCATTCATCGCAAGATGGTAATGCACACAAGCTGCTGCAAAAGGTCCATTGATCATAGAAAAAAGACCAAGCGGGTGAAGGAGCGATAAGGCATTTAGTGCACCCGATGACTGATCTTGCAAAACATCAAGCTTCAATAGTGGCGTAGTCAACCCCGTTGTACCGGCCGTTGTCGGGGCAATACCGCCTTGCAGTATGACTTCTCTTCTGCGTCCTGCCCTTGTCATATTGGCGCTGATTGATGCAGCTCCAGCGCTGAACGATTGGCGCTGAGCCATCACCAGCCTGGGTCGATTACAAACTGCTCCGGAAACCCCAACCCCGCACGCTTCAATCTGAAAAGCAGTTCGCAACACTTTCGGCGTCAGAACTAGTGGTTCCCACGTAACGGGGTATCCAAAAGGGCTTGCTATGCTGTTTATCATTGACGCAACATCCTGCGCGGCAGACGTACTCATACCGAGCTTCAATTTGGCCAGATTCGCGCATAAACTGACATTGACGTCTCCATCAGCTGAGCTATTCATGACTGAACAACTCAACCCCAGTGCTTCTACAAGCGTCATCGGCGTGAGTTGACTCGATGGTCGTGTCAAATGTACGGATAACGTGCCAAGATATTGACAGCGCTCATTGCGACCCGGATTACTGGCTCCTGACCACGCAAAGTCGCGCGCGATAACAATCAGATCATTACAAGCACTAGCTTCCAGCTCATCTTCCTTCTTTTCTGCTGCAGAGTGATCTGGCAGACATATATGGATACTGCTAACCGTGACCAACTTAACGTCCTTTTCCAGGACAGACTGAGTACTGTGCGCCGCATGAGGCGTGTCTGATATCATAGACCTAGGATTTGCGGTCTCCGTCGTGCCCTTGTTAGCTTCGCTACCACGCACGATAATGGACAGCGCTTCCAATATCTCCGAACATTTTGATGGATCCAATATAGCACGAACAGCGCCGATAGATACGTCCAACACCTTACAAGACCTTTTCTCGTTCGTATGACTGCTGGCCGATGGTTCGTTACGATGCGTGGAGGTTGACGTTAATGCCAAGTGCAGGCGCAGTGCCGAATGAAGACTCCGGCATCGAACATTGGTGCCGTCAGACGACAAGAAGAGCGAAGACGCTGAACACGAGTGTAGTGTGTAACGAGCAAATAGTGAATTCAATTGGGGCTGGAGTAGACGGGTCAGATTGTCCAGAGCTCCGACATCGGGATTCCGGAAGACGCGATATTCCTTCACGATCGAGACAAGGGAACGAGTCATTTCATCTAAAAGTACAATCGAGCAGTCATGGGAAGCCCAAGCGGTGGATACGGCATTTGATAATATGCCTTCGTCGAGAATTCGCTCCTTTATTCCAATGATCCTTATCGTGTCATGACAAATTAATGACAAAGTGGCTATCGGGACACAAGGAATACGCTCGCCATCCCATATTGTAAAACACTCACAAGGAAGATCCAAATGTCCCCCCAAGTTTCTACTGGGTTCCAACGTTTTCCAAGTAGGAACACCAGCATCCAAACCCACTTTGATAATTTCAGAGCTCCGCTCTTCACGTCGATTCCATCGTGTTGCCTCTTCGTCAAAAAATGAGTTGGTGAAGTACGGATGAGAGACATAGTCGGGGACGTGAACTGAATCAGTTGAGCCCCATGTGAGCAAGATCTGCCCTCTTTTACATGTCAAATCTTCTCGATTTTCGCTGACTGTCACCGATGTCAGCTCGACCTTATCAATTTCGAGCACCAAATCGAGTCCATTTTGTTCTCCTTTGCGTGGTAGAAGCGCCTCAATCGCAACGTAGCTGAGATGTATGCTCAAAATAGGCACGGCTGGTCGAGCTATTTTTCTTCTCGTCTTTTGCGCTATAACCCTCACCATACCGAGGTTTGCTACCGGAACAAGCTCTTCTCCGCTTTCGGTGGTCGCAAAGTCTTGATGCTCCACTTCTTGACCCGCACTTTCATGCTTCCGCAACATCATAGATGCCGAGCTGATGCACAGCCGTACACAAAACATCTTAGTAGCTGCATCATTGATGACCAGTGGATCCTCATCACCCTGGTTGCTTGGTGGCTGTACCTTAAGCAAGGCCATTCTTGTCTCGGCAAGCAGCTCAGAAACTAGTGCATCCTCCTCTTTTTCATCTCCAGCTGTACCTAGAGCATTTATCGCCCAGCCGAGCCATGACTCTTGCTTCTTAGCAAAGCGGTTCATCTTTTTTCCTCCGCTTGAATTCACAACAGGAATAGCAGGAATGTGAGAAACAGAGGGGCGCTTTGCTTTCTTGCCACCGCTTGGTACGTGATCTGGACTGCGTCCTTGGAACGGCAGCTCGTGAGACTGTTTCATCTTGCTGCTTGCGTTCTTGATTAGCTGATTCAGCATTTCTAGTTGGCTGTCGCTAACGGAGAAGGACAGTTTACCAATAAAAACATCCACCTCGTACATGGGTGTCACGCATGAGCGACGGCACGAGTAAGGGTAGAACGGGTCGCACAGCTCAGACGGTCTATATGCACACAATCCGCCTTCATCAAACATGCTGCTTTCAGCAACATTATGATTCACCGTACTTCGTTGTTGGTGCACAGGGGACCTTGAAAAAATAGGACTATTGCTGCGATCATTCTGGCCGCCGCTCGCGGTGGTAGAGAAGAGCTGCAACTTGGCTCGGACCGAAGCCGACGTCCGGCTTAGCACCGGCACCTCGTAGCCAATCACATTCCGCCGCACGGGGTCTCCCGCCGTGCTATGTTTGGTACTCATGTACCGATCAAGAAAAATGGTCACATCTTTGGCGTCAACACTTTTACAGATCACGCGTTTTTCTCCCTTAAGCTGGTCAAAGCATCGTTTCCACCCGCTACTCTCACTTGCAGAATAAAAGTCCAAAGTCTGTTGCCCACAGAAAAAGAAAAGACACACGTTTATCCCCCGCAACCATTTCGTTCGAACAACTCATGAATAGCAATACGAGCACATACCCCCAGCGCAATGGAGAACACAATGTCATCATGCTCGTACTTGAGCACGAGGTTGTTCACCTGGACGCTAATATTGGACAATATCGTCTGCAAAGTGTCGTGAATCCATCCAGACTTAGGATGCTCCATCTTTGACCGCTCTTCCTCCTCCTCTTCTTCTTGTTCCTTTTTCCCGACCGCTGCTGCTCCTGCTGTGCTCACCGTCGATCCTCTCGCTGCTCGCTGCTCTGGCTGTTCGTTCTTGGCCGTCAGGATGAGCTCAATCGTGTAGAGCTTCACCTCAATAGGATGAGACAGCAGCTGTGTCCAGGGAATGTGGATCCGCAGCTCTCGGATGAAGCCACGCGAGAAGTCGAAGCTCGAGGGAATGTCGAGACTCTCGCGCAGCACGTGGCGCTTGATTTTGAGGTCATTGAGCACGAGGTCGCCGCCAAACAGCCCCAGTCGCTCCAGCTGGATGTCCTCAATGTACTTGCTCAAGTAGAACTGGAGACTCTGCGCGATGTAGCCACGCAGAGGCGACAGCAGGTCCAGCATCTTGACGCGCTGTGGACACGAGGAGTGCGTGCGCTTGTCACTTGATGCGCTTAATGTAGCCAATCAGCGCGATCGAAATAGTCACCGACACCGCAATGTCAAAGTTGAGTTTTGAGACGTACTCGTTTTTAGTGGAAACGAGACATTATTTCGCATCCACATTTATCGTAAAACTGAAGAGCGACTCTGAGGCTTACCCTTTATTACAAGTGATCCAGCTTGGAAATGGATTGAATCGGAAGAAGCAGTAAAAAGGGGCGGCTAACGACGATGCAGGCGTGTGATGCTGTTGATATGCAAATGACACTAGTAGGGTATGTCCCGGTCAACGTGGGAAGCCATTGCCCTTGCTCCTTTCGTTTTGCAAGGCTTTTTTGAATCTCTCACTATGTAAAGCCTATCATACCGACATGGTATCGAATGCGTCGACCTCTTAATAGTTGTGAGAACCAGACCAAGTGTTCTCACTCGCTTCTTTAAGCTTGCACGGGCACGATTCTGCGCTCGTCCCTTGTGTATCACGATATCATGATCCAAGCGGAGGGGAATCTGCGTCTAGGTGTGCTAAATTTATCGTCAGAGGTCACGAATGCTGATCCCGGAATATGTTTGAACGTCCCGAAATACAATGTCTCTGATCACGCCGCTGCTCTGATTCGTCAGTCTGATACCCTGCCAAAGATTGGTCGTCAACTTCATATCCTCAACCTATTCGGAATGCGGCAAGCTCTCTAGTCCCCCCTCAAAGCTTGCCAAAGTCCATTATCTTCGATCAGGATAGACGATTGGCAGCTGTAATGCTGATGGCATTCTTAAAGCTTGCCCTGCATTAGTCCACTGTAACGATAAGCTTCAGCATTATCCTCGGAAAGACAAAGCGAGTCTTTAAGTGCTTCTCAAGTGCAACACCCTTGTTGTCGGTTGTCGATCATGAGACGCTCTCACTAACTTTATCAGCATTTTATTTGATGAAGTCGATCAGCGGGTCACGAAACTGAACCTAGCGGAGGTCGCTGTAATGATCTTGCTGTCATAATACATGATTGATTTTACAGCTTCTAAAACTGAGCGTAAGCCATGTATAAATTGTAACGGGGTAGCCCGTTACATGATATTTACACAAAACTGTGTCAATATGGGGGGGGTTGTCTAGCGTGACTGTTATTCCCTTTAAATAATGTTCATGCGCTGCGCAAATATCGGTTATTAAAAGACATATCGACCAAGGTTACCACCAATCGCTGCTGGATGCGCGTAATGAGTGGTGAGCAGGTTGTCGTCATACGACAATGTAGATTAATGTAGTTGGATGAAGACCGAAGTTATATTGATAGATTAACTATATTAAATACAGTTCTCTTCTTACCATTTGCTCAACCTAGTTGTTGAGTAGACTAGCTCCCTCTGCACGTACTAGTGTACGTGAAGTTTCGTAGCACCCCAAACAAAGGGTGCCCTGTTACATAAATGGTTGGTATATCGGACTTGATGTACAAAGCGTACCCGCCGACCAAAAAGTTTATCAACCAGTATCGCATTTTTCGGCACCTTCAGAAGGTATTTGTCGTTCATCTGTAGTACGTGGGGTGTAGTGCGTGTGTAACTGGATTAGCCTGTTACGTGTAATTAACCCTTGATACTTATTGATTAAAATACAATCATAACGATTAATGACGTTCGTGGATATTACCATAAGAGGTAACATTCCGAAACACTCACGGATTGATTGATGTAGGTCATCATATCAACCAGGTCTAGCGGTCCAATCAAAGATGGACGCGCGCAAATGAGTGGTAAGCAAGACTTGAGCATGCATTTTGTAGATAAGTATAATTAAGTTTAGACTAGAACATAGGGCAGTGATTAGGACTTGATTATATTTAGTACGTTTTTACTGTTACCAGCAACTAGTCCGTATTTAGTTGCGTCCCTTCCTCTAGTATATAAATAACAGAGGTAGCGGGGCACCACTCACGCTGCTTTCGGTGATAGTAGTTCCACATTACTTGTCTAGCGTGTTGCTCTGGTGCACCGTTACACCTGGAGCACTTCGTAGTCCGTCCAAGGACCACAAAACCCGTTCAACATGAACATGTTGGACGATGAAGGTGACGACACCTTTCACATCACCCATGAAAGTTACTACTATTTGAGTGATGTCGAATGAAGTGCGATCGAACGAATGAGTTCGACGATTGGCGAAGAAGCTTTCAGGTCTCTGCTATATTCAAGGGATATGGACCAGCAGCATTCCGTAATCGCCAAGTTCTTACAACAAGCACTTGATGTCTCGCGAGCTGAAGTGACCCTACTGCATCAGCGAGGTTACTATCAAACTAAGCTCCTGAGACAGCAGCATTCGATTCTCCTTCTGCGCGTCGACGCGTGAGCGTAGACGCAAGACTTGAAAATTAGCAGCCTCCAAGTACCAGGGAGTAGAGGAAGACTCTCTGTTGAGATGGTTTCTCGAAGTGGACGAAGTAACTAAGGCTTGCCACATCGGCGCTGAGGAAATGCAAGCTGTATTTGCCATATATTAAAATTTCACCGGACTCTCCAGAACTTGGGCTTTATATTTATGATCACACAATCCACGTTTAGATTTATAGGTGGTCTTTAAATATCTGTTCTGCCAAACGTTTAAGACGCCAAGAGCTGGGCTCAAGACTCTTCCAGAGCTCCTAAAAATTAAAAAGGTAAGCGTGACGTTCACGCTTATGTTCAGTACCATAGTCACCTCGCAAGTTGCATGTTAGCGAACTCTGTTAGTAAATTCGTGTTGATCACGATACTTTTACAGGTCCTTGCAAATTGCCCCATGGGGAAACGCCTGTTCATCATCGAGTATAAGTCGTTTAGGGAAGCGATTACAACTGTGGTGCAAACGAAGTTTGGTGTGAGACAGGCTCACACTAGCTTCACCCCTCATCTTCTTTCGAGACGAGTAGAGGCGAGTGGTCAAAAAAGGAACCTCTGCAGTGTTGAGAGCGAAAGGCCTCTCTTTTCAAACAATAATCTATTGCAAAAGTGCAATCGCTGTCAGAAGTTACGGCACTTCGCCTTCGAGTGTAGTCCTTCACGCCCAGCGCCTCGAAACTTTAGCGAAGTGATCGACAGTCTTCCAAGAAGGGCAAAGGGCGCGTTCCGACGCTGTTGCAAAGTCAAACCAGCTTGGCGGACCGCAAAAACGGTCGGGGTCAATAGGGCGGAGAGTCCTACTGATCCGGCAACCTCACAAGGATTTTAAAACCTTTTTATGAATTTTGATCCAGACTCACAGTCGCTGTGTGTCTCTGCACTTGTTGATGAGGTTCCCCTCATCACCTTAATCTTGGAAGTGACAAAATAATTATCACCTCGTGCCTTAATGAGCTGTGAGGCGTGGAACAACTTTATTTGTCTACCGTCGATAGAGGACCGTAGGCTCAATTTTGTTGAGCGCGATGTTCCTCCTACGAGGATGGAGGTGCGTCTTGCAACAGGGACATCGACAGCAGTTATGGAACGCATAGTGAGATGCAACTACGCGTTAGAAGATTCGGAGTACAATGATAATTTCATCGTTCTTAATTTGGATGAAAAGTTTGGTGTCATCCTAATGTTTTTCTGGTTCAGAAGGTTACGAGACAAGGATCACCTGGCAGCATCAAACCGTGAAGATGCCTGCCGTTTGTTCTATCAGATGGCCATCTGGTGAACGTCTTGGAGCGTGAGCGTCCACAAGCGTGTGGATATACTGCGAGTGATTGTGATTTCCTCACTTGCGGTACGGTCGATTAACGACTACACAAAAACACAGTGTGACAACAAATCGCTCTGTGGATGAAGCTCCCTGCGGCTGTGCGGGTGCACAGCAGCAACGAAGGTTTTCCACTAGAAAAAGTTATGTGGATCAGGACATGGTTGTGCGCCTAACGGGCAGCATCCAAGTAAAAACAAATAAGATGCCCACACAAGTCAACATGATGATCCTAGATCGGCTGGAGAGTCTATCTTAGAGGACCTATTTGTGGTAGCGCAACCACATCTGGACGAGAAAGAGGGAGTTGGTCCTTAGTACTTGAGGGGAATAAATTAAAGCATTTATTGGTGAAGTAATGAGTCCTCGTCATCCTCCGAGACTAAGCCCCCAGCAGCCTGTGGAAAAGGTTTCCAATAAAGAAAATCGTGACATAGAATGCCTTGTTAAGTACGGGTAGATTGTAGGCGCTTATACAGTTGATCTGATCGCATCTCCGAAGTTGACTACGGAGATCACTCAGCTGCCAACGCTAGAACCGAAACGGTTCTTAAATTATTTGATCAAATGAAATGTATTACCTTTTTCTAAAAAGTTAGGTTTACTAATTGTTTTATTATTTATTTTAATAAATTATGAATAATGGATCGTTCTGCTTGAAAAATTGCTTTAACTAATTTTAATCTCTATCAATTAATATCAAAACGACTTTTTAATAAAATAAAAATTGTTTAAATTTATTAATTTTATTATCTTTTTTAAAAAATTTCGTAATTAAAAATTTTATGTGTTTTTACTGAGGGTTCGAAAAGTAATTATCGTTTATTTATTATTTTTAATTCAACTACGTTGTTTAGCTTCTATAGCTTATACTAGACGTTTCAAAATATAGTTGGTAATTTTCACCGAAAATGATAGCGGTTCAAGTTCGTTATAATTCAATTTAAAAAAAAACTCAATCGAAATATGTCAACTGTTAATCAATTATTTTTTAAAAAACAAAAATGTATTAAAAAACAAAAAAGAAATAAAAGTCCGGCTTTGCGAGGTCTACGTTGTAACGGGGTGAATCGTTACATAACAATTTATAAGAAATTGTTAATCGAATATAACTATAAGAGTTATATTCTCAGAATATTGTCATAAGGACAAATATTCTGTAGCACTTACGAGTAGTTCCTAATTGGTTGATATAGGCCATTATATCAACCAACGAAGACGCGCCACGACAGACGCACGCAGTGAGTGGTGAGCAGATAACTGATTTACACATTTGTATTTAGACATAGTTAGATGAAGATAAATAGTGATTTATTGCAGACATTAACTATTATAAATACAGTTCTACTTTTACTCTAACCAAGTACTCGCTTCTTCCTACCGCCTTCCTCTGCACGTACCAGTGTACGTGAAGTTACGAGGCACCGCCTTATTCTGTCATCAGAATAAGTAGCTTGTACTTTCACCAGTACAAGCTTCAGGGTGCCCCGTTACACCTGGTAGCACTTCGTAGTCCGTCCAAGGACCGCGTTCACATCCAACATGAATATGTTGGATGATGAAGATGACCAAAGCTTTCACGCTACGCGTGACGGCTACTCCCATTTGAGCGATGTCGAATGGGATGCGGTTGAACGAATGGGTTCGACCATGGGCATCCATGCTGTTAGCGTCATGCTAGAGGCTCTTAATAGAGATGCCCAACATGCTACTATCGCCAAGTTTATTCAAAATGAACTTGACGCAGAACGCGAGAAAGTAGCCTTGCTTCACCAGCAAGGTTCTCAACAAGCAGAGTTGTTGAGAGAACAGGGTGCTCAACAGTTTGAACTGTTGAGACAGCAGCAGGCTGCTGCTGGTGGGTCGATGCACTCGCGTCGACCCAAGACCTTGAAGATTGACATCTCCAAGTATAGGGGGGTCGAAGAAGACTCTCTCTTGAGATGGTTCGTCGAATTGGATGACGCCATAAGGACGCGTCGCATCGACGACGGGGATATGCAAGTTGCATTTGCCCAGTCAAATCTGGCAGGACGTGCCAAGACTTGGGCACTGGGGCTACAGTTGCACGACCCATATGCGTTTGGGTCGTTGGAAGTCTTCAAGTCGCGGCTCAGACAAACGTTTGGACCGCCTAGAGCTGAGTTCAGGGCTCGAACCGAACTCTTGAAGCTCAAACAGGGTAAGCGTGATGTGCACGCTTACGCTCAACATATACGACATCTCACGAGTTGTATAAGCTCCAATCCGGTGGGTGAACACACGTTGGTTTCGGTGTTCATGCAGGGTCTTGCGGATGGTCCCGTCAAGACTCACCTGTTCCGGCTTGAACTAGATTCACTAGAACAAGCCATTTCCATTGCGGAGCAGGAAGACTTCAGTCTGAGACAGGCTCGCGCCAGCTCGACATCATATCGTCAACCGAGACGATATGACAACGGAGGTCCAGAGCCGATGGAACTCTGTTATGTAGAGAGCGAGAAGGCTCGCTCTACAGGCTACAAGAAGGTGCAGAGATGCAACAGATGTCAAAAGACAGGACACTACGCTTACGAGTGTAGTGCCCCTCGTCCAGTGTCTCGCGACACTGGGCGTAGTGACCGTCCACCCATGAGAAAGGGGCAGGGACGAGGGTCCGCAGTTGGTGCAAAGACGCAACAACGGGATGGACCGTCAAAAAACGGACAGGATCAGTAGGTGCGGAGCACTCTACTGATCTAGCAACGTCAAGAGAATTTGTAGGCCTCTTGATGAAGGTTGCTCCCAACACACAAACGTTGTGCGTTGCTGCTCTAGGTAATGAGGTCTCACTCATTACCTTGAAACTCGAAGTGACGAATAAGTTGTCCCTTCGAGCTCTAGTCGATTGTGGGGCGTCCAACAATTTTGTGCGACGCCAATCGCTAGAAGATGGTCACTTTAAATTTAGTGAATGTGACACACCTCCTACGAGGATGACGGTACGTCTTGCGACAGGCGCATCCGTAACCGTCATGAAGCGTATAGTGAAGATCCACTATACGCTAGAAGATACCCAATATGACGATGACTTCATCGTATTGGATTTGGATGACAAATTTGATGTCATCCTTGGAATACCGTGGCTCAGAAGGTACGAACCACGAGTAAACTGGCAACATCGAACAGTAACGATGCCTGCCGCTTGTTCATCAGATGGCCATCTGATGAACGTTTTGGAGCGTCCACAAGCGTGTGGATGTACTACGAGTGAGTGCGATGGCCTCACTTGTGGTACGGTCGTTAGTACGACTGCACAAAACCTTAGTGTACCAAACGGTTACACTTCGGAGCAAAGTTCCGGCGGCTGTGAGGAAACACAGGCTGCGCCGAAGGTCCACCACTCGAATAAGTCGGGTGGACTGGGACAAAGATGTATCCCTAGCGGGGAACATCTAGAAGAGAAACAATCGATCGCTCAGGTTAAGCGAAACGATAATCCTAGATCGACTGGAGAGTCTTTCGTAGAGGATCTCGCTGTGGTTGCGCAACCCCAGCTAGAGGAAGTTAAGGGAATAAGTCCCAAGATTACAAATACGGCGGAAATAAGTTCCCCGAAACCCGCGGGAATAAGTCCCCGGGAAGCCGAAGGAACAAGTCTTTCGAGGCCTGAGGGAATAAGTCCCCAGGAAATGACAGAGACATTGAATGTCATAGTCAATAACGGATCAAGTGTAGGCGCTTATACACTTGATCTGATTGCGCCTCCGAAGTTAACTTCGGAGATCACTCAGTTGCCAACGCTCGAACATAAAAGGTTCTTGCGTGATCTGCGTAGTGGCAAAGTCAAGCAGATCTGCGTACTCGTCGCTGACGACGAGTGTGTAACCGACATAAGGTCAGCAACAGTGTTTACTGAGAACTCTCTCGTTCTCAGTAGTTCATCTATGGACGAGAGTGTCCTAGATGAAAAGACACGAATTGAGCGATATGACTCCCAATCATGGGAATCGCTCAAGACAAATCCTCTCTATGAAGATTTGGTTGAATGCAAGGATGTATTCCCTGAAACTGTTCCGTGCGAATTACCGAAGGATAAAGGTATTCGACACGAGGTCGAGCTTAAACCAGGCTCGAAGTACTGTGTCATGAAGCAGTGGCCACTGCCTCGTGAACAAGTACTTGCGATCGACAAGTTCTTTGCCGATCGTTTAGCTGCGGGCCATGTGAGGGAATCAACTTCCCCACATAGCTCTCCGACCTTCTGTGTGCGAAAAGCAACAGGAGGGTGGCGGATAGTGCACGCGTTCAACAAATTGAACGCTGCAACGGTACCGGCTCAGACGCCGATACCGAGGAAGGACGTAATCATTGATGGTATGTCAAAGAGTACCATCTTTTCGTCCATGGATTTGATGGATGGCTTCTATCAAATCCTTATGCGGGAACGGGATATACCCTATACCGCAGTTAGCACGCCTAGCGGCATGATCTGGGAATGGCTAGTAATGCCACAAGGGCTAAGTAATGCCCCTGCCACGTTCAACAGATGTGTATCACATCTGTTGAGACCAGTACGAGAATTCGCGCCGAGTTATTTCGATGACGTATTCATCCATAGTCGAGCTATGGATGGAAAGTCGGACGTTGAGGTTCACAGGTACCACGTCCGACAGGTTCTTACAATCATGCGAAAGCATCAATTGTATGCAAACCTCAAGAAGTGTATATTTGCCGCAAGCGAAATACCACTTCTTGGGTGCATCGTTGGTAAGAACGGTGTACGTCCTGATCCCAAAAAGATCAAGGCGATCACCGACTGGCCTGTGCCGGTTGATGTCAAAGGTCTTCGAAAATTCCTTGGGCTAGCGGCGTATTTGCATAAGTATTCACGCAATTACGCCGAGATGACTGTACACCTCTCTCGTTTGTTGAAAAAGAACGAGATGTGGTTATGGAACGCTGAATGTCAACGCTCCTTTGATGGTATCAAGCAGAGCTTGATACAATCCCCAGTCCTAGCAATAGCCGATCAGGACAGGCCATTTCATGTGGTCTGTGATGCCAGCGATTTCGCAATCGGCTGTGCATTAATGCAGTACGATCTTGAAGGCGTTGAACGCGTCGTCTGCTATCAGTCGCGTCAGCTGCAACCAGCTGAGCGGAACTATCCAGTGCATGACAAGGAACTCCTTGCCATGAAGTATGCACTCACGAAGTTCAGAGTCTATCTATTAGGAGATAGACCCTTCATTGTTTACAATGACCACGCGTCATTACGCACGGCAGTGAACAGCCCGCACCTTTCACAACGAATGGCGCGGTGGTTGTCATTCTTTGCGGAATACAACTTTACGGTCGAGTACAAACCAGGACGACTTAATGTCGTCGCTGATGCACTCTCACGTCGTCCCGACTTTGAAACAGTCGCGAAACCCAACAGTGAGACAGTCACTGTTGCGGTTATGACGTCCTCAGTCCCATCTACAACGTTGTATGATGATGTGAGGCGGGCATACGCCCAAGATGGTGAGATTGTGAAGTTGTTGACACATCTCTCACAGCCATCTCGAGAATCGTTGAAACGATTATCGGCTGCGTATCGATCTGCATCAGACCGATTCACTACTCGCAACGGTTTACTGTATTATACAGCCGTTTCTGGTGACACACCACGCGTTGTCATCCCAGATGATACTGATCTGCGTTTGCGGATCAAGTTCGAGTATCAAGATGCTTCTGTAGGAGGACATCGTGGCCGGGAGAAAACATATCTCACGGTGAGTCGAGACTTTACTGACCCCGCCAGTATCAGTTTGTGCGAAAGTATGTTCGCGCATGCGAAGTCTGTCAACGAGTGAAGTCAAGTCCTTCACTGCGTGCACCTTTACAGCCTCTACCGGTTCCGGCTGAGTGCTGGGAATCCATCTCAATGGATTTCGTCTTCGGGTTACCCAAAGACGCACGCGGGAATACGGGTATTCTCGTATTTGTTGACAGATTCAGCAAAAAGGTACACCTTGTGGCTGTACCAGAGACAATCACGGCAAGTGGCTGTGCTTGTGTCTTTATCGACACCATCTTCCGACTTCATGGGTTGCCCCGTGAACTCGTAACAGACAGATATCCACGATTCACTGCTGATTTCTGGCGTTCCGTGTTCAAATCACTCGGAACGCGCTTGAAGATGTCGACATCTGATCATCCAGAGTCAGATGGTCAGACGGAACGTGCCAATCGTGTCCTTGAAGAGATACTTCGAGGATACGTACACTCCTTTAAGAGTTGGAGTGAGTTTTTGCCAATGGTAGAGTTTGCCATCAACAACTCGGTGCATGCGTCCACGACACATACACCGTTTTACGTGAATGGCTTGCGCCATCCGCGTGTACCCACCTTACTAGAGTGTAACTCTGGTTTAAGGGGGGGAGGGACTCGCGCGAGCAAAAACCGAATTGGCTCACGCTCATCACGCTCTGACGAAGAAGTCATTGCGTTTGATGCCGATATCGATAACATCGATATCGAAGAAGATGATGCCAGTGAGAGTGCGGAAGCCCTAACTGAAGAAGATGATCCCAGTGAGAGTGCGGAAGCCCTCACTGAAGAAAAGGTTGATGTTGCTGCAGTGCGCTCACAGCACACTGAAGCTAACGAGTCATCAGATGAGTTCATACTGGCTCGTGAAACGGTAGTCCGTTTTGTGCAAGACTCCATCGCCGAAGCGGTGGATAAGCAAAAGCAAAACGCTGACAAGAATGGAAGGGCAAACACTCTTTTATTTAATAAAGGTGACTTAGTCCTACTGTCTACGGTTAATCTACCAAAGCACGTAGTGACTAACTTGGGTAGCAGTAAACTACTACCCAAGTACATCGGCCCTTTTCGTGTATTGCACCGCCTAGGCAATGCATACACGATCGAATTACCACGTAAGATGCGAACGCATCCCACGTTTTACGTTGGTCGGCTTAAGCCGTACCATCAGTACGCTGCTTCTTCCGATGAAGAACGCCCTTGCGCTCAAGCATCTCGCAGAGAGCCTTGTGCTCCCGATGGTGGGCATCAACAAGGGTCTGAAGAGCAACTATCTCATCCCGAGACCGATCAGCAATCCCACGAGCTACCCTTAGCTCGTCACGAAGAGATGTCAGAGATCTCTAGTTCTCAAGCTGAGCAAATGCAAACTCAGCTCGATGCTTCGAGGCAGTGTCCGCCATTTGGAGACGCCTATTCCGCTCATGCTCGAGATCGTCGCGTAACCCTTGCGTTACGCGATCAAAGAAGCTCTCGGGAACACACCGATCCACTTGATCGTGTGGAGAGCGTCTTTCCTCCTCCTCCACCTCCATTAGAGGACTCTCGCGGTGGCCAGCGCTATCTAGTTGAGCAGCTGTTGAACCACCGCGACGTGAACGGACGTCGGACGAGTTATCTCGTCCGATGGCGCGGCTATCCCTCGTCCTGGGATTCTTGGGAGCCCCGCTCCCAACTGATGATCGACGTACTGGGTCTGGTTGAGCAGTACGACGCGGCACATCCTGTGCCGCAGAAGGACCGCCGGAGAAAGTCTTCCCGGCACGGTCGTAAAGGGATTTCAAGTTGTCAATCCCTTCGTACATCTCAATAGAGATACGTACGCGCCACCACGGGCTATTAGGGAGGTAAGCAGGTTAGGTGCTCGTGCAGAGTTGTTCACACAACATGGGCACGAGTCTCCCCAAGAGAGGAAGGGTAATCCTTTCTCCCTTGACAGACGATGCAGCTTGTAGCGTGCACCTGTCGGGGTTCGCTTTTCAAACTTATCACGAGCTTTGATAAGTTTGTCGTTCCAAGCGTCACGACCTACATCCTCGAGGTTATGGATGTAGGCGTTCCACGCCTGAAGTAGTGAGGGACCATCACGTTTGTGATTCCCACTGTACCATCGATGTCTAAAGAAAGCATCGATGAAGAATTCATGTTCGGCGCGATAGTTTTTCGCGCTGGGGTCAAGGTGATGGATCCTTGACGAATCGAACAATCGTGTTCGATAACGATCACTCGTCGTCGCCGACAAGTGATCCATGACAGATTTGGGAGGCATCCATGCCTTCTTCTCGGGAGCGAGACGCAAGACATTGCGGTCCCGCTCTTCCTGCGACATGCCGACAGAAGTACTGGCACCTCGCTGTGAAGTGGTATCCATAGGAGAACCGGCACCACTATTAGCGCCCGAGTCTCGCGACCTCGAGCGCCTTCGCTACGGCGATGGTTCATCTGATTCATCAGATGAACCAAAGATGCTGTGACGCAAAGCATCATCCATGCCACGCTTGGCAGGCGGCTTAGATTCAATCGCCGTCGATACGGATCCGTCATCCGTATCAGGAGAGTACGAGACACCGAGCTCGTACTCTGTGAAGACATGAGTGTCTTCATGACCAGCGCCTGCGTCACCAAGTGACACATGCTGGGTCGCTTCAGCAACCGATGAGACATCAGTTGCTGCGGTTTCTGCTTCGGCGTCCGCACAGAGACGTGCGGACGCGCTCTCGGCGGCCTTGCTCGCGCATCGCATGGGCTTGTTTACCATGCGATGAGATGTTGGAAAGTGGACGCGGACCAACAAGTGCAAACCCTGTCCCAAATGATTTGGGACGAGTATCCATTTAGTCAATCAGTCACTAATAAAGTGACTGATGGTTAGGGAGGGGGTGAGGTAGACGGGGTGAATCGTTACATAACAATTTATAAGAAATTTGTTAATAGAAGATAACTATAAGAGTTATATTCTCAGAATATTGTCATAAGGACAAATATTCTGTAGCACTTACGAGTAGTTCCTAATTGGTTGATATAGGCCATTATATCAACCAACGAAGACGCGCCACGACAGACGCACGCAATGAGTGGTGAGCAGATAATTGATTTACACATTTGTATTTAGACATAGTTAGATGAAGATAAATAGTGATTTATTGCAGACATTAACTATTATAAATACAGTTCTACTTTTTACTCTAACCAAGTACTCGCTTCTTCCTACCGTCTTCCTCTGCACGTACGAGTGTACGTGAAGTTACGAGGCACCGCCTTATTCTGTCATCAGAATAAGTAGCTTGTACTGTCACCAGTACAAGCTTCAGGGTGCCCCGTTACATACGTAGTGGTAAGGTCAAGCAGATCTGTGTACTCGTCACGGAGGACGAGTACGTAACCGAACTTCTGTCGGAACAAGTGTTTACTGACAACGGATGGGTTCTCAGCAGCTCATCTATGGACGAAAGTTTTCTCGATAGACTCGGATCGAGCGGTGCACAACTCAATCAAAAAGTCGCTTCAGAAAAATCCTTTATTTAAAGTTTTGAACGAATTTAAGGATATGTTACCTGGATCCGTACCATGTGATTTTTTAAGGATAAAGGCACTCGACATAAAATCGAGCTCAAATCGGGTCCGAAGTACTGTGTCATGAAGCAGTACCCACTGCCTCATGAACAAGTACTTTCGATCAAAAAGCTCTTTGCCAATCTCTTAGCTCCGGGTCATATGAGAAGGTCAACTTTCTTTCATAGCTCTCCGACCTTCAATTTGCGCAAGGCCACAGGATTATGGCGGATAGTGCACGCAGTCAACAAGTTTATTGCTACTACGGTACCGAGGAAGGACGTGATCATTGATGGCATGTCAAAGAGTACCATCTTTTCGTCCATGGATCTGATGGATGGCTTCTATCAGATCCTAGTGCTTGAATTGTACATCCCATACATGGCAGTAAGCATCCCGAGCGGTATGATTTGGTAGTTGCTAGTAATGCCACAAGGGCTTAGCAACGCCCATGCCACATTCAACAGATGTGTCACAAATCTGTTGCTATCGGTGCGAGATTTTTCACCGAGTTACTTCGACATTGTAGTCGTCCATAGATAGGCTAAAGGAGGGAAAACGGACTTCGAGAGATAAACAGACGCGTTCTTCAGGCTCTTGCTCTTATGCGGATGCATAAGCTGTATGCCAACTTCAAGAAATTTGTAATTGCTGCTAGCAAAAGAGCACTTCTTGGGTGCATCATGGGTAAACACGGCGTACACCCTGATCCAAAAAAATTTCGAGGGGATCACCTACTGATTTGTGACATTCTATGTCAAGGGAATTAGAAAGATCCTCGGTCTTGTGGCGCACTTATACAAGTACTCGCGCAACTACGCCGAGATGACCGTTCGCCTCTCTCGTTTTGAAAATGAGTGAGCAGTGGTCATGGGCCGCTGATTGTCAGCTTTCCTTTTTTAGGCATCAAGAGGGCTTGATGCAATCGTCCATCTTGGTTATTGCAGACCAAGACAGACCATTCCATGTGGTATGTGACGCAAGTGTTTTCGTAATCGGCTGCGCGTTTATGCAGTACGATGCAGACGGAGCAGAGCGCGTCGTCTGTTATCAATCGCGTCAGCTATAAGCAGCTGAGCGTAACTACTTAGTGCATGACAAGGAACGACTTGCCATTAAGTATGCACGAGCGAATATATGCGCCGGTGTCCTTGGAATTAGGTCGTTTGTTGTCGATACGGAACATGCGTTATCACGCACGGCCGTAAAAAGCCCACACCTCTTGCAAAGGATGGCGAGGTGCCTTTCCTTCTTTGCGAATAACAACTAAAGTACAAACATGGACGACTTAATGCCGTCACAAACGGGTTGCTGCGCCAACCCGATTTCGGTTCGCTGCGCAGATCAATAGTACTGTTGCAACACTAGTCAATAGTGTTCGTCTTCAACATTTCTTGACGACATAACGAGGCCTAAGCGAAAGATAAGGCTCTTCAGCGACTAAAAGATCATCGAGTGACTCCATCACGTAAATCTATCAACTAGTTATGGCTTGTATCGGTACTATGCGGATCGGTACACAACACGCAACGGGTTGCTGTATTACAAAGCCGTTGCCAGCGATACACCTGGTTTATCGCCCCCTTTTATAATTTGAGCTTGCTCGTCTTATACAAGTGCCATGATGCACCGCCTAGTGGGCGTTGTGGGCGTGAGAAGACTTATGTCACGGTCCGTAGCGACTTCTACTGGATCCGCCAGCATAATCTTGTGCGCAAGTACACTCGTGCTTGTGAAGTGTGCCGACGATAAAAGCCTAGTACGTCATCCCGTGCGCCACTACAGCCTCTAACAATCTTGGCAGAGTGCAAGCAGTTCGTCTTAATGGACTTCGTCTTCGGTTTTACTGTAGACGCTTACAATAAAGACGGTATAATTGTGTTTGTAGACCGATTCTGCAAGATAGTAAATCTTATGCAGTTATAGATCTTATCTTAGTATGTGATTGTGCCCTAGTTTTTATTGACACAATGTTCCGACTCCCGTTCTACCCAGTGAACTAGTCTCTGATAGAGATCCTCGGTTCATGGCGGCGTTTTTGGCAATCCGTGTTCCGAGGGTTTGAAATACGTCTGGATATGTCTACTTCTGACCAGAATTTAGTCATGGTCAGATAGAATGCGTTGACCGCGTTCTCGAAGAAATGTCTGAGGATACGTCCAAACTTTCATAGTTTAGAGCTATTTTTGCGAATGATGGAGTTTGCAATCAACAAATCCGTGCATGCTTCGACAAGGCATATCCATTTCGTGAACGTCTTACGCAATACACGCCTACAAACCCATTTCAGTGTGACTTATATACAAGGGAAGGAGGAGTTTGATTGAGAATAAATCGGTTTGGCTCTTGCTCACCACGTATCGAGGTACTCGACGGCGCGAACATTTCCAATGTTGATCTAGTCTACATCGGAGAAGATGACCTCAGCATTAGTAACGACAATGTTGATGATTCAGATGATGATGACGATGCTGGCGAATATAGCATCGCCAAAGACTAAACCAGCGAGGATGAGAACACCCTAACTGAAGAAGATGATGACCTATTAGCGGTGCACACAAGGCACACTGCAAGAAACCAGATCGATTCAGCGGAAAAATTTCTACTGGATCGAGGAGCCGTAGTTTTTTACGTACAAGACTTCATCGCTCAGGCCGTTGAATGGCAGAAACGAAACACTGACCAACATAGGAGGGTAAACGTTTTACTATTCAATGTCGAAAATTTATTTTGCTGTCTACTTGATTTTACCGTAGCAAGTGTTAACTGATGTGGTCAGTATAAAGTACCACCCAAGCACATCGGCCCATTTCGTGCATTACATCGCAAAGGCAATTCGTGCACGATCGATTTACCTTGCAGAATTCTTACTCATCCAAGTTTTATGTTGGTCGTCTCCACCCGTAATATTATTACGATGTCTCTTCCTCCTCGGTCGAATGCAACTGCCACGATTAATGACCTCCAAAAGGTTCGTTTGGTCCCATTCCATTTTCTCAATCTGGCAATGTATTGACGCATAATGGTGATGTGGTGAAGTCGATCTCACAAAATTGCGTGTATGAGTGTCGATCTTCCACTTGCCCAGACTTGCCGACTCACGGAGGGGGTACTCCGATCCGTGCCTTGTTGTATGACCTTGTGCTCACCTTGTGTACCCGTCGGTTGGGCTGGCTTGAGCTCTTCGTAACGGCCTTGGGAGATGTCGATCTCGCTGAGAGGTTGGGTTGAGGGTTCGCTTCCGGTGCGGAAATCTTCACACCACGAACGGGGGTTCTGCGATCCCGATCTTGGATCGCACCGATCTTGATTTGTCTTCGAGATCGGGGTCTTTGCTGTGCGGAAATCTTCACTCAGCAAATAAAAGTCCTGCGTCGATCTTGCCTTGGGATCGGTCCGATCTGGTCTTGGGATCGGCCGATCTTGCCGGAAGTGCGCAATTTGGGTAGATCGGTGTCTTGTTTCGCCAAAATGAAACGTGCCGATCTGTCCAGGGGATCGCTTCGATCCTGCTCGGTCTTGTCTTGAACGCCTTGTCCAGATCTTCTGACCACTTGAGCCGTCTCGCGATCCTGTGTCCAAAATCCTTTTCCTTTTCCGTTGTGTGCTGCTACCCTAGCAGTTGAGTTGAGTGTGAGTACTTGATCGATCCGGGCCAGATATCCCGGGATCGCTCTTCTCGATCTTGGCCAACAATCCAAGATCGGTCTTCTGTGTCCCTGTAACACGCGTGCCTTAACCCGCCGGGGAAGCCAAATCAATCTTGCCTGGAGAAGAGGGGAGGATAACGTGCGTCGTGAGCAGAAGAAGTAGAGTTCAAGTCTGTTTATTAACCAACCAAATTACTATCCAACCTACCCTTAAGCCTATTCTTAACTATAGGTCACTCTTCAAACCGATATCGCCTTGAATCTGGATCACCCCCTTGCCACGTGTCGAAATTTCGTGCCCTGTACTCCAATGATAGCGCCAATATTCCCGATACCGTACCTGAACGCCAAAAGAGGACCAAATCCCAAATGGGGTACCAAATACCCATTTTTGGTACCCAAAAGCCCAAAATAGTGCCCAAATGCCGAAGGCGTCTAAATCCATTTTGCGACGTCAATTTAACCGGCTTCCACTGGCTCTTTCGATCTGAACTTTTGAGACATCACTCATGGACCTTCAACAAGCATGTTTGTCATGATCCAAAATTCTCATCAACGATACATCCATAATCAGTGGGGATCATGACCGATCTGATGCCCAATTCGAGATTGTTGAGGATCGACACAGTACAATCCGGCCATATATGTTCTTCCGTTCATTGTGTGCACTCCGATGCTTTACTCAAAATGATTCTGCTTCAACATCCACATCCTTTCCTCTGATCAGCCTTTAGAGTGGTCGTTCGGTTCAATCCAGTCCCTCGTCCCAGATCGCACCGTTGGAATCACCCCTTTCTACGCCCCGTCTCAAATCACGTTGCATCGCCTGGTCCTAGGCGTACCTCTTCCGCCAGTGGGTGACATCTTAACTGGGTGGACACCGATCCACGTCCCATCATTTGATTAGTGACTTTACCACAGTTACACCTTCGTCGCAGAGTCATATCCCATCACCCGGTCCCAGATCCTTGTCCCAGATTGTTCCATGTAAATCGTTCCAGATCGCTCCGTCCCAGGTCGATCCATACCCATTAGTCTAACGACAGTTGATCGGTTCGCCTATCCCGTTAAGATCATCTTCCACCTCCGTATTATCGCCGAGTCTCATGGCCTCCTTTTCCACCATTAAGCGGCGCTTTAAAGATGTGCCACCGATCCTCGTACAAAATTTGAGTAGTGACTTTGCCACAACCGCCCCCTGTACTGAAGTCTTTTGTACAGCAATCGACCTCAGTACAGTCACTCATCAACTTCGTTCCAAGCACTCAAGTCCGTCTCATGGTCTCTCCGACGCATCCACCCACCTCGCCGATCTCTTCAGAAGGATCCACCATGTTTCTGTCTCCGGATCGCGACCTGTCGCCCGGATCGCCCGATCTCGGAGGACACACCCCAGCGGTCCCCGATCGGCCTGGGTCTCCGCGCCATCTAGATCATCCCGGATCGCAGATCCCTCGTCTGCAGGACAAGTTCAAACCTGCTCCATCGTCTTAGTCCAAGGTCGATATCCAAGCCCGATCGTCTTTCATAATCGTGTAAGTCATTCAATCATCTTCTTTTTGGTACTTCAATTCTTTGCAGCTTCCACGATCTCGATCCTCATCGCTCCACATCATTCAGGAAGGTAATTCACTTGACTATCTCCATACTCACATACAAAAACCTCATCCACCAGCATGTGCTACCGTCTAGCACATCTTTCAACCCCTACATCCGCATATGCTACCTCCCGCATACTTGTTCGAACTGTTAAGGTTCGTCCGACTTGCCTTCATGAGACTGCATTACGTCGAAACGGTTTCGACTCACTCGGTTCCGCTCAAACTCTTGCAAGATCGCCCCACAACTTAGATCGGCCTCGTCCACCCAACTTAGATCGGGATATCCCTTCCACTTCACCAGAAACTGCCGGTGTACTCGCCCATAACGGGTTTTTCTACCAGATCGCACGTCCAATATTGCCTCTACTTCGTATTCCCCTTCTTCAAGATCGCCATCCCAACTGTCTTCTGGCAGCAGAGCTTCATCGAAATCCAAGCGATCTGATTCCTCTATCGTAAGCTGATCCTTCGGGCGTTCAGGGAACGTCTTTACCTTTTTTAGCTTCGATATATGTACAATCGGAAATAACCGATATGGGGTTCCAGCGATCTCCAATTTTACAGCATGATCTCCACATACGTCCGCAACTCGGAATGGCCCATGCCACATGTGCGCTAGCTTCTTCGCATATCCCTCTTTAACTCGGTCCAGGTATAGCCAAACTTGCGCTCCTACTTCGATCTCGTGTGGTTCCAGATCTTCGTTGTGTCGATCTGCTCGCTCCTGGATCGCGGCTTGTAAACGATCGTTCACTGCAGATCGGGCTCGCTGGTATTGTCTTTGGATTTTGTATCTCCACCTCTTTGGATCGCGATCTCGTGTCCCCGTATTCCCCACTGGTAGCGTAGCCTCCAAAGTCGATCGCGGGTCCCACCCATGAATCAGATAAAACGGGGTATCCCCCGGATCCGATCTTGTGCAGTGTTAATGGCAAATGTGAGCCGCTCAGCATACTCATCCCAGTCTCGCTGGTCAACTTCAGCCACGTACATCTTGAGCGAATGTGTCAGGGTTTGCACCATTCGTTCGGCTGTTCCATTTGCTTGTGGCCTGTAAGCCATAGTAGCACGCTGTTTTTGTCCTACGATCCGACTGAAGGCTCGAAAGAAGTCGGACATAAATCCCGGTTCTCGATCGTGCCTGATAGCCTCGCTAGCTCCGAAGCGTCGAAACACACATTCTTCGTAATTCTCCGCTATTGTTTGTGCCGTCCGAGAGGAGCTAGCCTTTGCAATCACATATCCCGAGAAAAGGTCGACCCAAATGAGCAGTTCGGTGTTCCCCTTGATGGACTTGGGCAACGACGGTATATGATCCATGGCGATGATCTGGAATGGATAGGTTGCGTGTAGATTGCCCGGGGATTTCCCATGAATCATCGGGTTTCCTTTCCCGGTCTCACAGTCGGTACATTCGCCCACATATCGTTGAACGCTCCGATACAGTCCTCTCCAATGAAATCGCGATCTGATCCTCTGATAGGTTCGGCCAATACCCTGATGGCCTCCTTCCAGACTCGTGTGATAGTGATGCAAAAATCCTGCTGCAACGTCTCAGGGATCACCAACCGCATCAAACCATCGCGATCTTCTGACTCTCTTTTCGCCATGGGGCAAAAAAATAGCAGATTGTTCTCATCGATCTCGTAATCCGGCGCCAGTTTGGCGCACATCTTCACTTCTACCGCATCCAAGTTTGATACATCGCCACTTAGATATGTCTTGAGATTGACAATCCAACGCTCTTCATCTTGAGCTTGGACAATTCGTTGAATCCTGATCCTCTGTACTATCTCCTCCTGTATCACTTCAGGTTCATGACGTATCCTCCTGGCTGATCTCGTGATCGCAGTTACCCGAGCCAGCTGACCATCTTGCTTGGGCTTCAACAATTCATCGAGACGGTTCAGAGTCATCAGATCTTGCCGATCCTCTTCAGCTACAACCGTTCTTCCCTTTTCGCTCTGCAATGCTGTGCTGGCTAGTCGATCTGCGCTCTGATTCCACTCTCGCTTCACATGCAGAAACTCGTGACTAGGCCATGACCGCAGCTCCTCCAACGCTTTGTGTCTCAGAAGCTGAAGGCCCGGTGCCTTGCAGTCGATCTCACCGCGCATCTGTCGAATCACCAGACTGGAATCTCCACACAGTATTACTCGCCCCCTATCCAGATCGGCGAGTAACTCAAAGCACAGTAGCAAGCCATTATACTCAGCTTCATTCACAGTCAGATCGTGAACATATCTCGATTCGGCCGCCACGATCGTCCATTCGGGTAACTTCCATATCACGGCACTGAACGACCCTCCTTTCTTTTTTTATCCTAGCCGATCCATCGAAACTGGCCACCAGCAACTCCTCATCTGTTTCCACCGTTGGAGGAGGCATCGATATTTTGAGTCGACAGTCTTTTCGTGGGGAGATCGCAATCAGCATCTCTTCCACTTCTCCTCTCGGAGTGATACTCGCTGCTAACATGCCCAGGATCTCTTCCTCTCCTCTTTCACATTTCTTCACCTCCATAGTCCAATTTGACAACAAAGCAGCCCACCGTCCTAATCTCCCGTTGAGCCCTCGAGACTGCATCAACCAGGCTAACGTAGAATGTCGGGTCAGTACAGTGATCTCCCCGCGAGGCAAGCGTAGTATAGCATACATCCAACACACGAAGTAGCGCCAGCACTTCTTTTTCTACCGTTCCGTAGTTAAGCTCATTAGGCTTTAAAGTGCGGCTAGTAAACGTAACCGGATGATAAACGCCATCGTACTCCTGTATCAGGGCCGCTGAGACAGCCCACTTGCTAGCGTAGACCACGATTACGGGGGACCGATCTGGGTCGAAATGCTTGAGCATGGGAGCTGTAGCTATCTTAGCTTTTAGCATAGTGAAAGCAACCTTGGCTTCCGTCCATCGACCCTCGTTGGAGCATTCGTCTCCTGCTGCAAGCTGAGATTGGCCGATCTCGAAGAAATCCGATTCTCTTAACTCATACAACACCGCGGCATACACCGCGAAATCCTCAATGAAGCGACGGTAGTAGTTCAAGCTCCCGAGAAAAGATTGCATAGCTCGTAGCGTGCTAGGAAACGGGATGTTAACCAACGACTCTAGGTTCTTGGGCTGAGCCTCCAGACCATCCATCGACACTCGATGTCCCAAATAATCGACCTTACGGCACCCCCAAAAGCTCTTCGTGAGGCTGATAGACAGATTCCACTTATCACATGCCTCCAGCAACCGTTCTACTTTTGTGTACAAAGATCCCCATGACGTGGCTGGTATGAGAATATCGTCAATGTAAGATCGGCGTCCCAGTATAGACGGTCGTCGATCTGTCTCAGGCTCTCCATCTTTGAACACGTCGATCGGGCCATCAGAGGCTGATCTCTGGCCGATCTTGAGATATCCATACAACGCATTGTCCACCAGACGTTGGTAGATCTGGGGCGCGTTCTTAAGCCCAAAAGGCATTCGCAGCCACTCGAACAAGCCAAACGGTGTGACAAACGCTGAGATCAGTTTTGCTCGTTCAGTCATTTCGACGACCCGAAATCCACTAGCCATGTCTAGCGAACAGTACCATAGAGCTTTATCCAGATCTTCCAACAGATCGCTGATCAACGGCATGGGATAAACCGTCAGACGCGTCAGCTGGTTCACTCTTCGATAATCAATGCAAAGGCGAATATCCACTCCGTTCTTCTTGATGATCACCACTATCGGAGACGCCCAAGGTGACGTGGATGGCTGAACGATTTTGGCTGCTAATAGTCCTTTGATGAGATCTGACAGCTTCTCCCGATATTTGGGTGCGACCGGACGCACTCTTTGCGCTATCGGTGCTGCCCCACCGACATCAATATCACAGATCGCGCCTCGTGCTGCTGGTGGTAGAGCATTACCTTTACCCATGAGGAGGTGACGGCTCTTCCAGATCAGCGATCTGAGCCGTTGTTGATCTGTGGTGAGAGGCACATCGGGATCACCGATCTGAATGTCCTCAATCGTAACTTCTTCCGTAGTCGCCGACATCTCTGGTAGCACAGCCATATGCTGCTCGATATCTTCCGCAAACAAATCTCGGCTCTCGTGGTGATAAACTGGTATTTCTGCAATCTCGACGTCTTCAGTATTTAGCATTATTTCTTCTTTAGGCTCCTTCGTCTCTTCCGGCTGGCCCAATTTCAACAGTAGGTCAGTCGGCTCAGCCTTCGGTAGAGACGATCTGTCACGTAGCCCTTCTTGCCCGGTGTCGCGGTCTCCCTTCGTTGCATGTTGGGTACCGATCTCATGACCGTTCTCCATCCGCGATAGTTCGGCTCCCCTGACCGTTACTTCCCTCGCAACTACAGCATCTGCCTTTTGCGAATCGTCATCGTTAGCTTGCGGCGTTACCGTGGAGATCGCCGGAGACAGGTTCTGTAACGCATCAGACGGACGTTTCAAGATGCGTTTGGGAGCGGCATACGTAGGACGATCTACCAATGGTCCGATCGGTTCTTTCGGGAGTTCGTTCACTCGATCCGTCGTAGCCTCATATGCCAGAGTTTGACATTCCTTGTACTTCCCCGACCCGACTGTCACCAAACCTTGAGTGCGCGGTACCATATCGCCTTCGACCCACATGCCTAATATAGTGTGGGTGGGCAGTATGATCTCACGGTCGCCAATGTTGGTCATCTGCAGGTATTTCGTCTTACCCCACCCCGAGATCACAGTGGGGACCCAATCTAGTCCTCTAGCGACCCACAACTTCATCTTAGCCCCTCCGATCCCGATCTTCACTTCCCTTGACTCTCCGACCGGGATCACCACGTGTTGGTCCTTCGCCGTTATATGTTGTATCTTCGATCCGTACGCGGGGCGACGTCCTGCGAGATGAATGCGGGTTTCTTCTGGTAGACATAGCGCGCCATCCGCTAGATCGAGCCGCACTCCAGCCGGCACCATAAAATCCATACCCAGAATCGCTTCTTGCCCTGCCAGATCGCCTACCCATACATTGAAATAGTATACCAGCGATCCCGCGAGGGTCACCTTGATCTTGGTACGTCCTACCGTCATGTACGGAGTTTCTCCAATCCCGATACATTCTTGTCGTTGACTTTCGTCAATATTGCAACCGACCTCACGAGCAAAGGTGGTGTCAATGATCGGCACTTCAGCACCAGAATCAAATAACAGAGTAGCTTTTACGTTGTTGATCTTGCCAACGGCTTTCGCTTGTTTGAACCACTTCCCGGGTGAATAATGTTTCCAGTATCCGCGAGATTCACCATAAGCGAGCTCGATCTCCATAGCTGGTTCAGATCGTGAGTACTCATCGATCCGCTTCAGATGGGACACGGAAGCGACACGTTTTAACTTCGAACGAGATATATTTGTTTCCACGTCAATATCCTGCTTACTCTCGCGATCTGTCTTATTTTTTTCCACGTATGCAATAATGCAGAGCCCAGAACGCTCGGCTCGTACCAGATTCAAACCTGGCGAGCGTCCTAGTTTAACATCTTCTCGGCCTTCTCTGGTAGTATCCCCGCATGCTTATTCGGGACGTACCACTGACGGATCATGTTGTAGAACTCCTCCATGGGACACTTCCCCGGGTCGTGCATCTCACCGCAAGCACGACACACGAAAAAACAATTGTCAGAGGGGTGTCCTTTGCGCCCACACTTCTGGCAAGTGAGCCGCTTCCAGCAACCGAGATCTCCATGCTTGGTCGATCCGCAATGAGTACACGGCTTCAATGGCATATTGCGATCTCGATAGTCTTGACGAGTGTTCGGGTCGACCGATCTCGCGTTTGCTGCAACGTCATTGGGGGATGAACGGCGATCCGCAGTAGCAGCCACATGGATCGATCTCAATCGATCTTCCAAATCCGATCCGCAGGTGTCCGATCCTGACTCGCTGCAGACGTCCTCGGTACGGACCATCCTTACCGCTCGTGCAGGCTTAGACAGCGCTGGACCCTGAGTTCCCTTCTGCCTGAATTTGGACGATCCCATCATCACTTTCCCTTGACGCGATCTCCCTTGTTGATATCCGTGCAGTGTCTTTTGCATGGCCTCCGCGTCTTCTACATTCAGCAGTAGCAATTGATTGGACAGATCGGGGTCGTCCAAGGTGTCAATGAAATGATTGACATGTTCCTTGCGCGCAGCTGGCAATCCAGTCATCACCGGTATCTTCGCCTGCATTCCCATCACATTAAGCCGATACAGGTACTGTAAAGGATCTTCCTCCGATCGTTTCTTTGCATGGTAGTACTGCCTGCTCGCGGACATCCCGTGTCCCGCATACTCCACAAGAAAAATGTTCATCAATTCTTTCCAATTGAATCTCGTCGATCTACTCAGCTGTCGATACCAGTAGCGGGCTGGGCCCACCATGAGATCACCGAAGACCAGACATCTCTCCTCGTCCGGTGCTTGGTCCCGGATAAACGCTGATTTCACTTTGCCGATCCAGGTCCGTGCTTTGTCTTCTTCCCGATCCTTCCCTGAGAATTCTTTCAGCTCAGAAATCGCTGAGATTCTGATCCTCTGCGTGATGCTTCCCCCTCCGGTAGTCGCACCGGTCGCGGCTACATGAGGGCGCCGTGGTTCGGGCATCCATAGATCATCCGGGTCGTATTCCGCCGCCTCATGGATATGTTGGTAAATGTCCGACCCCACCGACTCCATCTCCACATCCGGCATGTCAAGGCTTTCGTGTGAAGGTTGGAGCAAAGTACGTCGATCTGGGTAGCGGTTTGGCTGTCGATTCATTCGCTGAGCTGTACGTTGATCCGCCTCGTACTTCTTCATGGCTGAATTGAAGTACCGACTTAGATCGCCCTCTTCTTGATCCTCCAGCCCAGTGCGGGTACTGGCCGATCTCTGCGGCATGTTGCTCTTGGCTTGTCCCTTATAGGCGTCGATCTTGGCTTGTCCGATCTTGTCCTTTAAGAACCTTCCACCCGATGGTCCTAGAGACATCTGACGAATGCTGATGGATCCATCTGACTCGCTCTCGGAGTCATCCGAGGCGTAGCGGGGCGATCCCGCGGGGTGTTTACAGAGCGAGCCCGAGGGCGTCCCGATCTTGTCTTCAGGAGTATTCGCTTTGCCC